GGGGGGGGCGGTGGAGCCAGGCTGAGCTGCAGATTCCCAGCCTGTGAAGTCCAAGTTGTAAATGGAATCTCAATGCTGGACAAGAAGCAGACCAGGCCCCACTCCACAGCTACCGCGTGACAGCACCACCTGCTTCTGGGCAGTGCCCACCTTGTCTCTTCCTCACGCACAGGGAAGCTGAAGTGGTACGGGTCAGGAGATGGAGTTGCTCCTACCATGCAGCATTCTGGCCCCTGCTGCTCAGCTCACCTGGCCTTGTTGGAGGGACTAGTCAGTAGTTTCTCCCGGTTGTGCTAGGAAATACAGAGCCATCTGTTCCGTGGAGCAGCATCACGCCTACATGGAGGCGTTCAGTGCGGATTACGCAGAGTACCGGCGCCTCCACACCAGGATTGGACACGTGAGCAGGACATTCATCCAGCTGGGAGCCAAAATCAAAACGCTGCCGCACGGGACGCAGGAGCACAAGGTGAGGGTGGGCCGGGCTGGGCACCAGGGCAGCGTGCCTAGGCCGAGTGCTGAGTCAGCTCTCTTGGTTTGCAGGCAGTGGAAGACAGAATCTTACAGGAATACCGGAGGTTCAAGCAGGTGAGGCTGGCAGTGGGGGGCTGGGGCTGATGCTCCCTGGCAGGAGCTGACCTGGGCTCTATCTTGCAGACCTACCCCAGCTACAGGAAGGAGAAGGACCGCTGCGAGTATCTTCACCAAAAGCTGTCCCACATCAAGGGCCTCATCCTCGAGTTTGAGAAGACAGGGGCTGCCTAGAGGAGCCTGCAGCCTTTCCACTGTCCGTTCTCCTTTCCCTTCAGTGCAGGGGAGGGAAGGGGTGGGGGTTAGTGAACTCTCCTGTAGTAGTACAGTAGTTGCAGACCCCCAGCCTAGTGTCCAGCCCAGCCCAGCCATTTGACTGCCCTGGGGTGCGTTGGGGGAGGGTGGCAGGACAGAGCATGTGGCTGTCACAAAGTAGAGAGAGTGGGTGATGGTCTTAGTGAATTATCCCCAGTGAGCTGCTGTCTTACCTGTACCAGCTCCTAAGGGGCACCTGGGGCTAGTGGTGCAGCTCCAGGTTAGGATGGGTGCCTGTGTCCTGCTCAGGGGGCCAGCCTGCACCACAGAGCTCTGCCTGGGCAGGAGCCCTGGCTTAAGGCTTGTCAGCCAGCATAGCTCAGGCCAGCTCCATGCAGTGCTCAGCCTAACTTGTGATAGGTGCAGCCTATGCTGTCTGCTGGAGAAGGTGGCTTTTGCCATCAAGTGGGACCTGCCACCTTCCTTCACTGGCTCTCTCCCCCCTAGGAGCCGAGAGCATGGTAGAGACTTGCCCAGCAGGGACTGTTTCAATTGCTAGAGCTAAGGGCACCATGCCCCTGGGGCTACAGGAGGAAAGGGGTCAGTCTGTGCTGGGGTTTAATGACTGACACCTGCTTGAGCAGTGTAGGGTAGCAGGAGTTGAGGGGACAGGGAAGTGCCTCACCTTCCTTGGCTGTGCACCCCATTGTTGGTGTATCTCCACTATCTATCCGTGTTGTCCTTGGAACCTACTGACATCACTAGGTGGAACTGCAAGGAGGGGGGTGAGATGGGAATGGTTGCTTAAGGTCCCTTTGTGCTATACTGCAGGTGAGGTGGAGGCCCTGGGAGTTGTTCCTGGTTTATGGCCCTGGGTTAAACAGTTCATTGTACCATGTGTGGCTGTGGCCTTCAGCCCTCTCCTAACACCTGCCTGAGCTCCTCCTGCTTTGAAAGTAACTTGCCTGACCCAACCCAGCAGGAGATACTGATGGGGCAGGGCTTGGCTGTGGGACTGTAAGTGATGCAGTTACCATCACTTTGCCTTTGTTCCCAGCTGGCCTTGGTGGGGGGGATAGAGCCCTCACATACAGGCTCTGCTGCTTTGTCTGAGGAAGTGTTTGTACAGCACCATGGGGCTGGGATGAGGGTTACGAGGTGCTGGATGTAATACAATAATTAGTGAGTCACTTAGCAGCCAAACTGCCCCTCTGCCCGGGAAGGGCCAGGGTGGGTTAGCTGAAGGATGTGCCTAGCTTGAGCAAATCAGCATGTTCATGTGAATGCTCTACAGGCATGGCATGACCAGGGGCTAGGTGGGGAACAGCTGTTCACAGCTGATAGGCATTAGCCCCCCCAAGGATCACCAGCCCCTAACTTACTGCCTGTTCTCCACAACAACTCATTTCCCCTCCCAGTCGTGGGGGGACAGGTGCCTACTTGTAGACAGGGCTGTGGTTCAGTCTCTGCTAGGGGGGCTACAGCAAGGGCCTAGAGGGAAATGCTCAATCAAAACTGCCTGCCCTAGCCCATAGTAGACAGGGTAGCAGGTGCTTTCCCAGCAGTAGTTTAGACCTACACTGGTGCTGGGCTGGAGGAGAAGCTTTGGTACAAGAGTAAATGGGCCTTGGTACAGCAAAGCCAGTGTGGAGACCTTGTAAATGCTGTTGTGCAAGCTCCTGTATCTAGAGTGTGCCCCAGGAATAAAGGTGTAGATACCCACCCATGGTGTTTTGTAAAACACAAGTCAGAGGGTAGGGGAAGCCCTGCCGGAGCACTTTGAGCACTGAGCCAGAAGACAGCAGTACTCAGATATTTACCAACCCTCCACTGCAGCTCTTTGCCTCCACGACTAGGAAGCCACTCATCTCCCTCCTACAATTTAAGGGGGCCTGAACACCCTCCTACCTGCACCAAGGTAAATACAGCAGTCCATATTACAGCAGGCCAGCTGTTCCCAGCAAATCAAACTCCTCTACACAAAACCTTCAAAGGGATGTAGGCTTGGAGCAGCCAGCCAGCCGGAGACAGGACAGAGGGCTACAGGCAGAGGCTAGGTCACTAGCTGCAGGGTTAGGAGCCCTGGGGAGGCTACTCCTCCCCAGCTGTATTGAGGAGGCCCTTGAGTGAGAAGTAAGAGGCACCTAGAGGCTGGGGCAGTTGCAATCACAGCTCTGACCTGCCCACCAGGCCCTTCTATCTGACTGGGGGATGCTTTCACATCTGGTCCTAGCCTCTTGTGGCACTGCAGGGTTTGCTCACACCATTGCCACAGCTCTGGCTCCATGCCAGGGAGAGGTGCTGCCAGGCCCAGCACCAAGTGAACCCACTCCATGTTCAGCACAGCTTGAAGCACTCAGAATGACCAGCCTACCTTTGAGCTGCTCCCATGCAAAGCCCAGACTCGGGCCCTGGAGGCCACTGTAGGAACACCAGGCACAGCCCATGGCTAGGTAGTTAGTGCAGAATCTACCAGGTCCCATGCTGCTCCACGGCAGGGTGCCCAGAGCCTGCAGCCCTGGGCTCTAGCAGACCAGGCATGGGCCTCAGGCAGGCTTCTTGCCACTTCACCACTGGTGTCTGGGGCATTCACAATGGCAGCTGTGTTCTGTACACAATGGGGTGAAGGGGTCATCTTTGCACCTCCTCCTGCACCCCCACGGCAGCACAGGCCCCTTCCTAGGCCAAGTTCCATAGAAGCATGGTAGTGGCCAGTCCCCCCCCCCCCCCCCAACTCAGCCTCTTGTAGGGGAAGCAGCTCATGGACCACAGGCTGGAGTGCGAGGGCAGATGGGATTTGTTCCCTATGCATTCTCCCAGCTAGAGCAGGGCAGCACTCCATGGGCTCCCAGCTCGCACCACGTACACAGGACTCAGCAGCCGCCGCTGGCAGCACTGGGCACAGAGGTGTGGTTTTAAAGGGGTCCGTTTTATTGTCTCACTTCTCCAAATGTACAAAAAAATTAGAAAATAACACGTCTCCCCCTGCCCCACCCCCCTTCCCCACCCCTCAAACATCACCCACGTCTGGGGCAGCCCCAGAAGAATGCAGCAAAGAGACGTCAGGAAATTAAACACAGCTAGGTACAGCAGTTGGGTCCCTTCAGCCCACATTGCATTGGGCACAGTTTCTTCACTCCCGCAGCTGGCCCCAGGGCTTCCCCAATGCCCGCACAATTCCTCCTCAGACACACTGGTGAGCTGGGTGGTTAGGTGCTTTACAGATCCTCCTGGGCCTTCTTCCTTTTCTTGGGCTTTTCCTCCTCCTGCAGCACAGGGGGGCTGGTCGCCTCCCGCTTCAAGTAGCTGATGAAGTCGCTCACCTCCCGGCCCCCCTGCAAACAGCACAAGAGCATGAGGCCAGGGCTGACCACTAGGATCCTGGCTTTGACACTCCCTGGGGTCTTGGGAATATCTGCACCTGCTGGCCCCAAATGGGGAGTGTTCACTGCCTCACAAGAGACCAAGGTTCCCCAGACCATTTCCCTGAGAGCCCTTTAAGGCTCTCCCGCAGGCTGCACCAATGTGTCCTAGAGGTGCAGCTACAGGGCAGACATCCCTCAGTGTGTAGGGCAGCGTTCCTGGGGGCCTGCGTGGCCACACAACTCTTCAGCTGCAGGGAGATTATCTGCATGGGCGCTGCCCAAAGCTGTAGCAGCAAGGAGGAAACCTGCCTGCAGAGCTCCCAGGGCAGGAAGCAGACACTCACCTCATATTTCTTTGGATTCTGCTTGTTACCAGCTGGAGCAAAATAGATAGTGGGGAAGCTGGGGAAAGAAGAGACATGTCAGCTCTACTGTGTTCAGCAGGCTTCAGGTCCTAACCCCTCAGGGTGAGTCTAGCACTCACCATGCGGGGCAGCAGGTTTGCCCTGAGCCACAGAAGAGGGGGAATCACTGCTGCATGGAGTCATTGCCCCACAAGTCAAGGGACAAGCCCTTCAAGGCACCATCAGCCAGAGGAAGCCCAGAACAGTAGCAAGCCATGCCCCAGCAGAGATAGGAGCGCCATCAGTTTGGCCCTGGGAGCAGAGCTGACTGAGTGCACCTGGATTCAGGTTTGCAGAAAGATAGGTGCCCAGTGCAGTTCTTCATCCTCAAGATGAGTCTCCGGAGTAGAAGGGTGGGCCAGGGACATTCAGGAAGCTGTGTGCTGGTGGGGCTGGGAAACCCGACACCCTGCACAGGATCAAGGCCAGATGCTTGCATTTGAGTTACTCCAAGTCTGAATTTCTGCTGACAGCTGCTCAGGAGCAAGACAAGCAAGTTCCCAGTGACCATGACTACAAGCACATCAGCCCCCAGCTGCCATCAGAGCCAGTCTCTCCCCCCCAAAAAAACCCCAGAGATTCCCTAGCCCTTCTGTAGCACAGTCACTGGCTAGAGGAAGTAGCCAGGACTCTCCCCTGCTACCCCACCCAATGTCATACAAGCTGAAGCTCTTACCCTCGGACTTCATATGGAGAAGGCACATCATTGGCTGTAGCATCCATCTTGGCTATGACAACGTTGGGGTCTTTGCTGAGCTGTTGGTAGGACAGCACATTAGTGAACAGATCATCACTAGTCTATTGTGGACGCTGGGGGAAGAAGCTGACCCCCTCCCCCCCCCGTTCCACTAGGACCAGGAATGTGTGTGTTCCAAGGCCAAGGGTAGATGGGGGAGCCATTGGGGCTCTTGGCTAGGTGCATCAGAACAGCCGGGGGAGGCTGGGGCAGGATCTGGGACAGCAGCGTTCATTTGTACAGTGCCTAACACAAGGAAGACCCCTGGGTGCTATGGTAATACAAATAATCTAGTGAGTCCAGGCTTTGTCCTGCGAGAGACCAGGCAGCGCCAGTTCAAGCTGGTATTGGCAGTAAGGAGGGCACACGCTCGCTGTCCGATATCCAGGCTAGCACTACCGATACTTGGGCAGGGACAACATTCAGGCCCTCTCCAGAGAGCACCTCTGACTCGGGTCTCCTTTAGGAGGCTATCCTTCCAACGTACACCCTCACTCATTGCCTGTAGGAGAGAAGGCCAAGGCCTCCTGGATGAGCAGGGGGAGTTGCTGCCTCTAACAATTTATAACAAGTTCACAAACCCTTGCCATGTAAATATCAAACAAAATCATTACAACAGGAAACTTCTGTTTAAAAAGACATTATACTGGAATAGATTCATCAGATTTTTCTATTTAACAGGACATTACCATATTACAGAGTGGGAGCATCATTACAAGACCTTGTCATTTCTAGTGATTCGATTAAATTGGTTGCTGCCTATGCTTCTCCCCACGGGCGTTAGTTCTCTGGGACAGGGAGAAGAACTGAGGATTACAGGAGCCAAGGGACCAGACCTGAGCCAAGTATAGCCAAACCATCCTTCAAGCAGGCATCTTTCTAGGAAGGATTCCCTGGGGACCAGCTCTCAGCAATGTTTGGACAGAGGACAGTGACACGAAAAGACATGCAGCCACTGGAAGCTAGTTATGACAAGGGAATACTGGTGTCCCCTGGCCAGAGCCAAAAGGAGATGCTCCCGGTGCCAGCCAACCTCAAATGTAACTACAGGGCAGAAGTAGCCAACTGCTTACTGACCAGTGCCAGTTTGAGAGCAGGCAGAGGAGGCCCCTTAGGCACATTCATGCAACCTTATGGCTTGGCCAGCTGAGCATGACCCTGGGACAGCTCAGTTTTGGGGGATGGCTGCTGCATTCAAACCTGACAGGCAAGAGCGCCCAGCCTACCTTTTCTCCTAGTTCCTTGTACTTGGGCTCCAGGTTCTTGCAGTGGCCACACCATGGGGCATAGAACTCGATCAGAACATCTTTGTCCTCCGCATTAACAAGGTCATCAAAGTTTTCAGCAACCACCACCTGGAAAGATTGAATTCTCCAGATTAGCAGCATTTCTGCACATTAAAAACCACATGCTCACTCTCCAGCTCTGACCTGAGTGAGCCTGATCCTTATGCAGCAAACTGCACTCAGTGGTCCTTGAAGCCTGCACAGAACACTTCTGTCAGCTCAACATGCAGTGTTCTAGCTGGAGAGGCAACAGCCACGTACACCCTTTGCCTGAACATGTCTCAGTAGCACCTACCTTCACAGGACCATCATTGTTCTCTGGGATGGGCTCCGATTTCAGGTATTTCTTCAGGTTACCATCAAAGTAATCCTGCAAGAATCTCTCCAGCGCTTTCCCATCACGGCTACAAATCAAATACAGGCGACATTTCAGAGCCCCATCTGGCACACAGGACTAGCAAGTGCACCCTACAAATCCCAAGGGAGTTTTATTCTACCCACAGACAGCAGCACACTGAAGAAAGCCACTCGGATCCTCAGTGCTAACCCAGGGCTCTAACTCCCCCAGATGACCCCGGGCACAAGAGCCACGCAGCCACCTCCAGGATTTTGGGAAAGTCTGCCTGGTGCACATGTTCACCCCAGTAAGTCAGGCTTCCTGCTGCCCACACTTCTCCCACCCAGGAGATAGGCTGAAGTGTCTCTCCCATGCCCTTTATTTTAGGTATTCACGCCTTCTGCTGTTCAGTCTCATGTTATTTTCTACCCTGGTCTTTACTTTTTAGGTATCTTGGAATTAAAGCCTCAATCCTTAGAGCTTGCAGCTCCTGATGTAACCCTTCCATAGTGTGTAACTGCCCAGTGGCAGGCTTGGGCTCTGCCACACAGGAACATCCAGCTCAGGTGTCCTCCCAGTGAGCCCAGGTGGGTGGTAAGTATCTGAGGGGCTTTGCCTGTGACTGGACTAGGAGGGGGCACCACGCCCAGGACTTACGAGAATTCCTCCTGCATGACATATTTCTCTCCCTTGGCGGTTCTGATGGCAACAACAGGAACCTCCCCTGTGCTGCTGTCCAGGCC